CGTTGTCTCGGGACCGCCCTGGCTGCGACACTCTATAGTGTCTCAGGGCGCGAAAGTGCAACGTCACACCTTCTCTTGACGCATAGAGGAGAACAAGCCGGATGTGGGATATGCCAACTTCTGAGTGGCTAAACTAAAGCAGTTCTAGCCAATTAGATTTATTAGATTTTCGGCTGTTATCTTTTCTTCAAAATTTTCTCCGGGCAAGTTTTCCTGCGATTTTCGAGCCAGTGCGTGGTCGAGGTCCGCTACTCCTTATAAAAAGGGCCTGAAGGCACAGGAAAAAGACAGTTTAATTTTCACCCTCGAACGGTTGACTAAGTAGCTAGAGTCCGCTTCTGCTATCTCACGGTCCTCCACAAGTGCGGTTTTCAATCTTCGATCTCGGACACCCTGCGCTGGTTTGCTCCGCTGTATACTTTAAACCAGAAATAAAAGTAAGTCAAATTGTAATACTAAAGTCAAAGTTTTTTTTTCATTTTTCTCTCGGTTTCAAATGCGAACGTGTTTCTGTTAGAGTTTGAAATTCGGTATCGGTAAATATCACGTTACGAAATTAAATAGACGAATTACTCCTCACGTAAAGTCTAGGGCAATCACATTTACTCCGAATGGTACAGGTGAATCATAAACCGGTCACGAACTTAAACGATTTTACCCCCTTGCGTAACCTCTAGAGTGTAACTACCTTTGCTCGTTACGGTACTGGTAACCTCTAGATCGCGAACGGGATACGTATCGACACATCACACCAGGCATGCTCGATAAATCCAAGGCACGCCACGAACGAGTGCATCGCATTATTGCTCGACAACCGCGTCGATTTAATCAAAACGGTCGTCCTGGCCCCCTTTCAAATACTCATACAAGAAAAATAACTACCCTTTAACCCCGCGTCTCACCTATGCGCTCAGTGCGAGTCCCGAGTTATTAAGCGAAAGCTCCTTAAGAACAAGCCGGACGAGGGCAAGTGCAACTTTCTTAAAGCAGCTTTGTTGAAACGATTGGCTGAGTCAAAGAAGGTTGCGCTCAAGCGTCTCCTAACCAACCTCGAGCTCGGAGACAGCACGCCCTCGCAGCTCTGGAGGAGGATGAAGACCTCGGCCAAGGGGGCTGATAAGGCGCTGGTGAAGGCGCTGTGGCTTTCCAAGCTGACATGCCACGCGCAGACACTGCTGCAGGCCTTCAAATCGTCTACCACTCCCATGGAGGAGCTGATGGAAGCCGCGGACAGCCTGCTCAATTCCACCATGCACGTCAGTGCCGTCATGCCCAACGATGCCATCATTCGCCAGCTGGTAGAAAATAACACCCTGATGGCCCAGATGCTGTCGACCTTCAAGGCTTGCATGGGGGTTCGGCAGGACAAGAGCAACAGCGGAGGTGCCCAGCAGCGCAGCCGCTCTCGCAGCAAGAGCCGCCAGCGAGGCAATTCTTCGGCACCCAACCAGAATCTCTGCTGGTATCACAACAGGTTTGGAAACAAGGCGCGCAGCTGTCAGCCGCCCTGCACTTTCTCGCAGGAAAACTAACGGCGCCGACCTCGATGCAGGCGTCCGAGATCGGTGACAGCCTGCCAGAACGCCGCCTGCACATGATGGATTCTCGCTCAAGGACTCGTTCCCTCATCGACACAGGCTCAGTCGTCTCACTAGTACCCAAGGCTCACGCTAAAGGTAAGCTAGTGCAGCAAATACTCACTCTGTCTGCTGCCAACCAGACAGAAATCAACACCTACGGCTCACGGCAGATGGTGCTGAACCTTGACCTGCGTCGGGACCTTCCCTGCATCATCATCATCGCGGACGTGCCCCACGCCATCCTCGGAGCCGAATTTTTGGCCAGATACGGACTCCTACCGGACCTTAAGAACAGCTGCCTCATCGACCAAGTCACGGGCCTGTCGGCACGCGGCCACCTAGCCAAGGTGGAGGTGTTCTCGGTCTCCACCATCCTACCGGCCTGAGGGAAGGACAGCCCATTTGCCCAGCAGTATGCAGAGCTGCTCAAGGAATACCAGGACGTGTTTGAGCCTGGCTCCACGTCCATCTACGTGCCTGACCTACCTGTCAGTCACACCATCAACACCAAGGGACCATCCGTCTGGGAGCACCCGCGCAGACTGACAGGCGACAAGCTGGCTGCCACGAAGCAGGCCTTTGCGGAGCTCCTGAAGAGGGGCATCATACGACCCTCCAGCAGTCAGTGGGCGAGCCCGCTGCACATGGTGCCCAAGAAGGACGGCTCATGGCGCGTCACAGGGGATTATAGGCGACTCAATGCTTGCACCATCTCCGACCGCTACCCACTGCCCATGATCGAGGATCTGCTGCAGGAGAGTCGGGGTAACGTCTTCTCGGCGATTGACCTCCAGAAAGCTTTCTACCAGATCCCTATTGCTCCTGAGGACGTTGAGAAGACAGCCGTTACGACACCCTTTGGTCTGTATGAATTTTTAGGCACCTCACTGAGTCTCCGAAACGCCACGCAGTCGGCACAGCGCACCATCAACCACATCTTGCGTGACCTGCCGTTCGTCAAGGCCTATGTGGATAATCTGCTGATCGTCTCTCAGAGCCACGAGGAACATCTGAGGCACCTGCAGAAGCTGCTGGACACTGCGCGCTGCCAAGCTCAGGGTCAACGCAACCAAGAATGCCATCGGCCAACGCCAGGTGCTCTTCCTGGGCTACCTGGTCTCTGGGAACGGTTTCCAACCTCCACCGGCGAAGGTCGAGGCGATCAAAAATTTCGCCAGGCCCAACACAGCCTGGCTGCAGAGCACAGCTTGTCTGGACCCTGGAAGCGGAACAGGCCTTCCGGCGCTGTCGAAACAGCATTGCGGAGGCGGCATGCACAGTCTTCCTGCGTCCGGGTGCACCGTTGGCCCTCAGAGCCGACGACTGAGGAGACGAGAACTACCGCCACCCCCAGCTGCCATCTGCGAGACCAGGTCATCGGTGGGCCCGATAGTTGACTTGACCCTGAACATGGTGAACCCAGAGGTAAGGGTAAAGTAGAGTGTGCGAGCGTGTGTATTTACGTGTATGTCGGGGGATCGGGTAGTGCGGGACGCCCCCAGGAAGTGTGGAGTGCGAGAACGGGAGAGTCCGGGAGAAAGCGTGATTGTCACGGATTGTTACGATTGCGCCAAAGTTCGGGCCTAAAAACCCACGTGTAAAAGTTCGCCAAAAATAAAGTGGAGTGTTCTTAAAATCATCAAGTTGTCTATTGTCGTGCGTGTGTTTTTCCTCCCTTCCGAATTTACAGGTCACACCTCGTTTCTCCTTGGGCGAGTAGTCTGATCCCGACGGACTACCGCCGGCAGGACCTTCCCAGAGACGAGTCTCCTGGGCCAAGCAGTGGACATCGTGAGCGTAGGGACAGGGGTTGTTTTTCGCGTTTCAGGATACGGCGGACTTTGGCGAGAGGATTTGCGATAGTGTCTTTGGACGTTGTCTCGGGACCGCCCTGGCTGTGACACCCTACAGTGTCTCAGGGCGCGAAAGTGCAACGTCACACATCAAGCACTTCGAGCGCATGCTTGAAGAACGGACATTCACCATCTTCACCGACTACAAGCCGCTCATTCACGCGGCTCAGCAGCGATCGGACAGGGCGTCGCCTCGGCAGGCGCGGCAGCTGGAATTCATCCTGCGTTTCAGTGCAAAATTTCAGCACACGCAGGGCCAGGACAACTAGGTCGCTGATGCCCTTTCCAGAGCGCCCTGCGGCGAAACATCCATGGAGCCTATGCCAGCCGGCGCGGACTCCTCCACCAGCTCAACAGACCAGCACACCACCGGGACGATGAAGGCGCACACCACGGGCATGCAGAGCAGTGCAGCAGTTGACGCACCCATGGTCGACACTGCCACCATCACGATGCCTTCCATCTTGGACACTCAGGCAATCGCGGAGGCTCAGGCTGCTGACGAGCAGTTACAGCAACTCCTCGAGAACCAGGGTTCACTACAGCTTGTCCAGTTGGAGGTATCCGAACACTCCATCTACTGTGACGTTTCTACGGGAGAGATCCGACCCTACCTGCCGGCCTCTCTACGTCAACAGGCTTTCGATGTCGTTCACGGTGTTGCTCATCCCGGCGCCAAGGCCACAGACAGGGCGCTCACCAGGCAGTACACATGGCCAGGAGCTCGCAGGGATACAACGCTCTGGGCCAAGCATTGTGAGGCTTGCGCTCCAAGGTGTCTCGCCACAACAGGGAAGCTCTGGGGCGTTTCAAGGAGCCGGACAACCGTTTCGAGCACATTCACGTGAACTTTATCAAGATGACATTGGTTCGGAGGATGCAATACTGCTTGACGATCATTGATCGTTTCTCCCGCCGGCCCATGGCAGTCCCACTTCAAAACATCCAGGCTTTGACGGTTGCCAGGGCGCTATACGACAACTGGGTCAGCCTCTTCGGCACGCCGCTGCTGATCACTTCAGACAGAGGTGCCCAGTTTGAGTCGGCCTTGTTCGTCGAGCTGGCGCGCACCCTTGGAGCCAAACACTGCCACACAACATCATACCACCCCCAGGCAAATGGCATGGTATAGAAGCTTCATCGCACCCTCAAGGCGGCGCTCACATGCTGCCCACAGGCTTGGATCAATGCCCTGCCCAAGGTGCTGCTGGGGCTGCGCTTTGCTGTGAAGGAGGATCTAGAGGCATCGCCCGTGGAGATGGTGTTCGGTACCACGCTCCATCTCCCGGGCCAATTCTTCGTCACATCCTCTCAACAGGCAGACCACATCAACTTCATCTACAGTCTCAAGCAGCTGTTTGCATCGCTCAAACCGGTGCCTGCCTCGAGACATTCGACAAACCATCCTTTCAGTTTCAGAGACATGAAAACGTGCTCGCACGTTTTCTTGCGCATCGATAGCAGAAGAGCTCTTACCTCGAGAGCTCTCCTAGATCAAGCTCACTCACTGATGCGCACGCAGCGCAAGCTGTCCTCATCTCTCTTCAACCTCAAGACAATGGACTGCTTCAGCTGTGGCGTTGGAGAGGAAGGCAGCGGCCGCTCTCTTGTGCTTGGGAGCTTGTGGAGCCAAGTTAGCCAGCGAGCAGGGCCTCTCCGCCGAGCCCAGCATGAGTGCCAAGCACTTTAACATTCTTATAATAACTTCCAAGTTAATCCTCTTTTATCAAGCAAATCTTATGTAGTAACTAGAGTTTAAGACGGTAATATGATTAATATAAAGGTTGCAACCAATTCAGTCTGTTTATTTCGCCTCGCATCTGCTTCTGACTCCAGCCCCTCTCCTGATCATGCCCAACATGCTCGCTAAATAATTGACTAACGAGTTGAGTTCTTTTCGTGACGCACCTCCTTACCAGCTTCTTAATCCTACATAACAGTTTTGGTTCTAAGTGTGGGGTACGGTAAGAGTCGGAATTTTTTTTTCTCGCTTATTTTACTCGTTTCAAAAAAAAAAATTCCGCCGAGATACACACATAGTGCAGTGCCACGAAAATCGAACTTGAGTGCCAGAACGGACCCAAACAGGACAAAGGTAACCGGGTACACTGAGAAAGATTTGGTGCTGCAGTTGTCCCTCCCCCTACAGCAGCTATACCAAATCACTATTAGTCTGCTGTCTCTGACTACTGGGATAGCAGGTATCCCAGTCGGAACAGCTTACGTACGAGTCCAAGTATATTAGCGTTACCTATAGTGTGGTTCAACGTATGTATCATAGGTTAGGTGCATCGCATATACAGGTCTTGTGCAGCTCTCGTCTCAACTGGTATTGCTGATGCAATAAACTTCCGAACTAGCACTGTACTACCGATGGTACTCTAACGGCGCCAAATCTTTCTCAGTGTAGCTGTTCATACGAGCGATTCTCCACATCAACAATCAGGAAGTCTACAAACAGAAGGTCAAAGCAACTTCAGGAAAGACCAGCAAGAAGGTAGCAGCTTATTGCAGTCACATCCGTAATCCTAACGCTCAACGCCAAAAAGGGGAGTTGTAACCAGGGAAGGATGATATTCAGCACAATCATTCTGGCAGTGGGGGTACTGTTGACTTGGTAAGTGAGTTGTTTACATTTTTATATCGTTTTTATTTTCCCTGACCCCGGGACAAAATATATAAAACTTTGCATAACAAACATAAAACAAAGGGATCTTATTAGTGGGCTTGCATAGATATAGGAAATATTCGAAAATAATTATATGATAATAATAACCCGCACCTATTTAGATCACTATTTTCATTACTATAATTTTTATTAACAAAAACGGACTACAGATATTCCCAGAAGAATATTTCGTCCTATTTATCACTAAACAAAGAAAGAGCACAAAATTAAAAAAAAACCGAGTAAAAGACACACGCCGCTCCTTTGCTTTCTTGTCTCGCCTCTTACTATTCTTTTCGCGCGATTATTATTAAGCCGCTCTATACTTAATTAAACGTCGCCCCGTAATTATGAAAATACACAAGCTTTGTAATAATCAAAAAGAAAATACGTTTCGCGACACGTACACACAAAAAGGAGGGAAAAAGTAGAAAAAAAAATGATTCATCGTGGCGGCATTACCCGTGAGTCAGAAAGCGAGAACGAAGGCCTAGATAACACGATAATCGACACGTGCAAGGAAGACCCTAGTAATAAAAAGCAAAAGAAAAATATGGCAGAACAGATGTTAGAATTGGAACTCGAACCAGAAGGGTGCGAGAAACTAGACGCCCTCGATGAAAGAACGAAGGCAATAGTAATGGGCCTGTTTTCAAAAATTAGTGCAAAGCTAAAGAAGACAGAGTAAGTGGGCGTGCCATTCTCAGCGACCGCAAGGTCCATCCAAAATTTGTCACCGACAAATAGGGACTTCAACTACATACAACGCGACGTAGGAGTAAGCATAGGACCCGCAAACAAAGAAGTGAGTCTTATCTCCGGCGAACGGACCATTGGGGGAAATATAAGAGGGGCCGAAGAAATACGCGGAGCCCGAACAGATAGAGTAGACACCCTACTGATACAATGGGGCATGCCGGGGAAACCAGAATTGCCGATTTCCGGTGCATCAAAGTACAAAAGCGATGAGTCAAGAAAAATCGGGGCAAGCGACTTACACAACCAACAGCTATGGGATAGAATAAAGGATACGAGCGAAGAACTCGAAAAAATGATGAAAGCCGCGTTTATGGCAACGGCACCACCACCAACTAATTATCATACAGATCGGGTCGATTTTAACGCGAATAAGGATAGACGACGGGGTGATATATTACCGACCATGACCCCATATATAGAAAAGGAACAAGAGACACGCAATTACGACCACCTACGCAGACTGCAGTATGCGCAACACAACATTCTGTCCATGTTCAGCAATATGACAAACAACATCCCGTTTTTCGATGGTGACCCGATCAACCTACCGCTGTTCGAAATAATGGTGCGTATGGTTGCACGTACAATAGGCCCGGAAAACGAACTATTTTTTTGGCCACCCTCGCAAATAGGCTAAAAGGGAAAGCAGCAGAGCATTTTGCCCCGAGACTGACGCAGTTTACTGCAGTCGAAGAGTTCATCGAAGAGCTCTCAAACAGATACTGCAGTATTAATAATGCAGACTCGCTCATGGCAAAATTGAAAATAATAACCCAGCAAGATAGGGAAGCAATAGATGACTACGGGGGACGAGTACAACAATTATACAATAGATTAACAATGTTGTAAGATTCAAACCCATACTTTCCCCCAATTCAAAAACAGGCGATGAAGGCAAACCTAGAATCCGAGGCGGTAAAACAGTTTATTTACGGATTACTTCCAACTTTTAGTTGGAGGATGGCAAGGTCCAACCCGAAAACTCTAGGGGAAGCAATAATACAGGCGTTGAAAATTGAAAGTGACCTTAGTTTACGGCATGCACTACCGGTAAGCGCACTGCCCACATGCAATAAGACAACAACAGAGTGGGGACCACTCGTTAGCCTAGCAAGAAAAGAAGAAAAAACAGCAGAAAACACTAAGGGAGTACAAGGAACAGCAGCAGTAAAAGAAAAACGCTGTATATACTGCGACGGTCGAACCGGGCATTCAGTTGAGGAATGCCGAAAGCTACTAGCGGTGATAAGTGATAGAAAAGCTTCGAAAGAAAACAGAAGGGAACTGAGGGGAAATTGTAAATATTGTCAAAAACCGGGACACTATGCGAGAGACTGCCGCTCGCGCAAGCAAGATAGGGAGGAAGGGGAGAGACAGCATAACGAGAGGCGTAACCAACCCGCAAATAATACTCCTACTGATAGGAATGCCTATAGCTACAGGGGTAGGAATGATAACTATTATAATAATAATTATAATAATTACGACAGGGGTTATAACAATGGCCCAACGGAGCCATACAATAGTAACAACAATCACAATTACAGGTATAATGATTACAACTCCAGAGGTTATAATTATTACGACAACCGTGGCAACGGTGACGCGTACAATAATTATAGCAGGGGCACATTCAACCGCTATGGTAATGGCTACAGAAATCAGGATAGCAGGGATGGCTATAATAGGGATCTAGTTAGGCACGGGCCGCCACAGGAGAGGGGCCCACAGCAGCGAGAAAGCGGCGCATACGCTCCGGATAACAGGAGAGACCCTCTCGTAGCTTTAAACTCGCAAGATGTTCGGCGTGATCCCCAAGCGTCGAGCATCAACTAGAGAAAG